ATTAAATAAGTCAACCCTTATAATTCATATAATTATCAAGCTTTCTCTTAAACTCACTGAAATTTAATTCCTTCACAACATCAAATGGCAACCCCTTCCAGAGGTCAACCAAGCAACTATCCTGTTATAAAAATAAAACTTTCTTACTGTCTCAGCTGAAGATGACTCCTACCCTGCCAAAATTTATATCTGTGTCCCCTAGTCCTACAATTTTCACCAATAAGTATGAACAAAGGGGATCCATCAACACTATCAATTCCCTTTACAATCTTAAACACCTCAATTAGACCCTCTCTAACTCTCCTTTTTTTTCAAAAGTAAACAACTTACAGATCATAGCCTATCCTCATAATACAACCCCTCCATCCCATTAGCCCTCCTTTGAATCATTTCCAAGAGTTCAATGTGCTTCCTAACGTAAGTAGCTCAAGACTGAACACAATATTCCAAATGTAGCCTAATCAGTGACCTATCTATGCAATGAAATAATAACCTTTTTTGACTTGTATTCAATATTTCTGTAGATACAACCTAAAATTGCATTTGCCTTACCATTGCTTGGATTGACTTAAAAGACTGATCAACCATTACACCAACATCCCTTTCTTTCATGACACTGTTGGGGTTATTTCTATCCAAATTATACTTATAATTCAAATTATGATAGCCCACATGTATAATCTTGCATTTATTATACTTAAAACCCTCCTGCCATTTATTTGCCCAACTCACTTAATAATATAAATCCTTTTGTAAAGCAGCAACATCCTCTTCAGAACTAGCAATACCCAAGATCTTAATATCACCAACAAATATTTAAATAATTTATTGACCATTCCTTCATTTATGCCAATGATGTAAATAAAAAAAGCAAAGGTCTCAAGACTGAGCCCTGAGGTATCACACTTGTGACATTAATGAAATTTGACTGAACTCCATTTAAAACAACACTCACTCTGCTTTCTTCTATTCAGTCAATCTTGTATCCAAGTAGCTAACTTATGCCCCAAACATATAGATATTTTTTTACAAGCCTTTTATATGGCACCTCACCCTCATCTACATAAGTGTGGATACCACACGGATATATAAGCTGTCTGTGCTTAGGAATACCTCGCCATTAATTTTACACTCCACACATCACTTGGCTCTGTTCTCATTGAGTTCAAATCACTATGTCAATTAAGCTATGGCTGGGTAAAATTGTATACTTTTCCATCAATAAAGTGCTTGATCGAGTCAAGCATTGGCTAATTTGAGCTGATCAGAAAATAGATGGTCGGTTTTTAGGATTCATCATTTCACTTTTTTTAACATTTTAAGTCACTAGACAAAGACCTGCTTTATAAGCAATATGGATACTAATAGAAGAGTTTTCACATAAGACTTGGGAGTGGCAAATATGGCTGACTTGTCATGGGCCCCCCATTTCAGCTGGGACCCTATGCTATGGCATAGTGTGTGTATTTGTGTTAATCCAGCTTGATGAGAAATATTTTGCAGAAACTGCTTTTGTGGCCCCCAAATGACGCCTCTGGGTGATAATATTATAAACATTTTTCTATGAAATTTTTCTTATATATAAATGGAATGATTTGATAGTAAAAAGAGTGTTAACACACTTTTCAAACATAAATATTTATAATTTGACACGAAAAAAGGGCCATAGAGAAAACTAAATGCCTCTTGTGGTATTACTTATTAGAGGCTCACAGGTAGGTTGCGTTCGCAGCAACAGAAGGATCAACAATATTTGTTTGGCAAGCAAGTATTTGGTAAAGGACAGGATTTGACATAATTTTTTTTGTTATTTGCATTATAAGTCTTTTAACTTCATGATAATATCTTAAAATTAAAAATGTTGATTGGTAAAATATTTTTCTTGTGTGTAGCAGTCTAATATTAATGTTTTTCAAAATGACACACTCTGTACAAAACGTACTACGTTCTCTGAAAAATACCTAAACTTTATATTCTGCCATGCGAATAAAGTAATTTACTTAAATGACCAATGACAAAGATATCTTTTTATGTCACACTCCTCAAGCTTTTCCTCCTGCCAACTTTTAAAGAGTGAAAACAAACATTGGAAATTCCCTTCACTGAAGATCCTTCAAATAGTTGATATTCATTCTCCATTCATTGTATCAGAGATTGGTAATTCTGATAACACTGCAGGTTGCAGTGATACTGCTGCAGAAGACAATCTTCAATCGAAAAAAGTCAAATGGCATAAACAGATCTTCAATACTGCTTGGCTAAAGGATCTAAACTAGAAGGATTGGATCAATAATAACCCAAGTAATAAACCTATTGTCATTTGTACAGTGTGAGACTTTAAGTTGAAGGATTCCAATAGATTAGCTTCAATGAAACATAAAGCGATGAATAAGCACGCTTGTGCATTCAGAGTTAAACAAAGTACAGTGCAGATCAACACATTTTTCAACAGATCTGGAGACAGAGGAAATGACCACGGGAGCTGATATTTTGCTTTCTGGACTCATCATTGAGCACAGAATATCATTTCTTTGACTTAACTGATGAGATTAATGTTTCTGGACAGTAAAAACCACCCAAAACACCAAGATGAAGAGATACTTATCATCATATTTGAGAAAAAATTCACTCACTTGGAAAGAGAATGAGTCATTGCTGTCAATTTACAAAAACATTAATTTCTCTCTAATCATAAATGAATCCACTGACATTCCTGTCCCCCAAATTGTTGGTGTCATGATGATATTCTACCACAATAGGAAAATAACAGGTACCGTACTGACGACTGTTGAAATAGAAACTGGTTTTGCTGAATACCTGTGCACTGCTGTCAAGAGGTTCTTTGATGAGAAATAAATTCCCCTCGACAAAATAATCCGATTAAGAAGTGATAATTGCTCGACGATGATGGAGCAAATATTGGCTTCCAAGCTCACTTGTAGGATGATGATGATCCTGATTTTTTATTCTAGAATGTATATGTCATTCGTTCATCCTCTGTGCAAACTATGCAAGCAATGTTTCAGGACGTAGTCTAAGCACCACACCATAAAATGTTCAAACTTTCACAAACCAGATGGTTGTCCCAAGAATATATCATCACTTAGATCCCGGAACAGTGCGTTTCAGTGGTATGTTTTCTTCCAAACCGAAACCAAATCAAATCATGTTGATGGAGTTGATCCTGTTGTCTGGGGCTGATTAGGTCCATGACTAATATATCCTGTCTGTGTAAAATACAGTAAATCGTCCTTTAATTTATTTAATTCACTTTGAAATTTACTAATTTTTCCATTTGTACTTCATGCTGCTGTTGTACTCTTTCTCCTTATTCTTCTTGTTTCCTTTCTTGTTCCAGTTGCCACTGATGCTGGTTTTCTTGCCACTGCTGTAGTCTCTCTTCTTGTTTATCTTCTTTTTCCTTATTCTTCTTGTTTCCTTTCTTGTTCCAGTTGCCACTGATGCTGGTTTTCTTGCCACTGCTGTAGTCTCTCTTCTTGTTTATCTTCTTTCTCCTCCAACCACTGCTGTAGTCTC